AGCCACCTCTTGGTTGCATTCTGGTATTCGGTTGAATACCTCATAATACCTTTTGGCATAAGCCCTCAAGCTTTCGTCCTCGCCAATTTTCAGAGCCATCAGGGCATCTACCCTCAATGGCTGTAGTTTGTTTGTCACAAACCTAGCCACAAACATCTCAGCCAGGCTTTCCCAGGTTTTCACAGTTCTTTTTGGCAACTTGTGAAACCAGTCCGATGTAATTTCCCCGAAGGATGAGGGGAACACCTTGCAAAGCAACGACTTGTTCCCTGTGTACAATGCCATCGAGTTCAGGTACAAATCGACGTGAAAGTTGGGGTCCGACTTACCGTCGTATATCTAGAACCTCGGCATACTGAACCTTTTCAGGGCCTCAAATTTGTCCAACTCTACCGAGAATGGTGTTCTCGGCTTAACTAGGGAGGTTACTTCGGCATTTTGTTGCTTCCTTTGGAGGTAATCCCTCAAGTCCTCTTTGGTTTGTCCAGGAGCTCGGCTATCTTCGGATTTCAGCCTTTTTGGTGTGCTACTGTCTGTGTCATTGTGAGTCCTTTTGGACTTCCCTTTATAGGTCGTATCGAAACAGAGTTCCTTTCCCTGAACATCCCAATGTTCTTTGGTATGGTCTTCTCTGGTTCGTCGCGTCTTCTGGGATTCCCCTTTCCTTGATTCTCTATGCCCGACCTCTCGCGAAGGCCGGTGAGAATGTCCTTTGGTCTCGTCGTGCTGAGGGACTGCAGGAACCGCTTTCTGTCCTCCATTCTGGGCATCTTTTTTTGTTGTTGGAATTGACGTATCTTGTAATAGGAATGGTGGCTGCATGACGTTGTTCTGTATCATGAAATTGACCACCGTTTGTAGGTCCACCAATTTGTTCGCCATGGCCTTCACTTCATCCTCCCTTCGCAGGCATTTTTCTTTCCATACCTGGAGGTTGTCCTTGTTATAATACCCGCTTCAGTCCGTTTTCCTTGGTACGTCGCCCTCCTGGCTGACGTCCTTTTCTCCGTGATTCTTATCGTGAGTCTCTTTGTTGCAGTTGTCTTCTTTGACGTCAAGGTCAACAGGTTTCCCACTCCCAGTAGGAGTGTCGTTAACAATCTGCTCTTTCTGTCCGTTATTGGCCATCTATTCTCCTTTTTTTTCCCATAGACGGCGCCAAATTGTGTGTGTCAATTCCGACCACACTGCCAGTCAAACACTCAGCTAGAAAACACTGGCAAAATAGATGTGGCTCGAACAACTTGTCACAGAAAGAAGAAACTCCGGCGGTGGTTCGTCCATTCGGGGGCACTCCGACGATCAAGTCAGTTATCTCTCAAAGATAGCAAAAGTGCTTAACTAAAAACATACTTTAGACCCATGAGAGTGCCTCTCTTTTATAGCCAACACTTACCTATTTCCAATAGAAGCGTAGCTTCAATGGACTTAGGATTATTGCTCATCTTGGACTACTAGTGGGATTGAGATAAACTCCCTAAGAGTTTCATCTTTATCCAAACTGAAGTCTCCTTTCATTCAGGGACTCTTGACCCTTATTTGTTTATCTCGGATTCCAGTTTCTTCGCAGATAACCTCGGCTAACCGAGATGATCTCGGCGTCATGACCGGGACACGTGGTACCTCGGCTGACACTTCGGTGCCACCTCAGCCACGTGCTGTCATTCAAAAATTATGTCCCAATAATTTAATTATCAGCCAATCATCTTTTTGACATACCACAAGGTCTAAAAAGTGGGTCTAATTTTTGAGTCTGAATAGCAATACTGAAAAAATATTATTATATTAAGTTTGAGTTTGTGTCGGAGGTGTGAATTAGATATAATAAAGCATACTTTTGCATGTAATGCTTTCTTCATCAATAAAGTTTTATTTTACTGATTAAAAAAGATAATAAAATATTTTTATATTATGTAACAGTTATTGCAGCATTTTTTGTCTAATGAATCTAAATTAGTTTTTAAAGTAAGTTGAAAAAAACTTAACATATGAAAGATCAAAAGTTAAAAAAATTAAAAAAAATATATATATAAAGAGGGTAGAGTGTAATTTATCCTTTTTGTAAAGGGTTAACTTTTTGACACGTACCTGAACACACATTAAGGATGGAGTTCTGTTTTTGGTCATGGAGCTAGTACTGAGTTTTGGCATCTAGCCAACAAGCTTTCATTTTTGGAGAAGCATGCTGCTTTATCATGCTTCTTCCTCCTTTCTTCTGTAATGTTTTATTGATACTAATAAAATATTTTTCCTTTGTCTGTTGATAAAAAAAATTAAATTTGTCAAATCATAATAATTATACTAATATTAAATGATTTCTTGGGCCAACCCTAATGAGAAAATTAGGAAAAATTGGTAAAAAGTCTAATTTAAAGATGTTACAAAACATTAAATTCAAGGTAAAATTTTATTTGGTAATAAAGATATGTCAAAAAATTCACCCGCGGCCGGTGGCGGTGACCAGCAGCAGCCAGTGGTTGAGGTGGAAAAATGTGTAATATTCAACAAATGGGGTGGTAAACGAGTGACATGTGTTACATTTTAACAGATAGATAGTTTGATGAATTTTAATAGATAGAAAAATAGACTTGGTGAATTTCAGCAGATGAACAAATTGAGTGATTTCAAGAAATAGACAGGATAGGATGATTTTAACAAATAGTTGTACTTTTAGACAAATTGTATCATTTTAGCCAAAGAAATTATAGTTTAGGCCTAATGACACAAAAGATTAAGGAATGGATTCATTGCCTAAGTGTCCATTAAAATTAGCATAATTTGTTGGGATTGAAATGTTTTGCTAAGATGCATTGAATACTGACCCCAGCTGTATTAATGTGTTTTATTCAATGTTTGTTTTGTTCATTGAACTTCATCAATAAAACTCATCTTTTTGGACAATAAAAAAAATTGAGTTTAATTAAGTCAAAAAATATGGGTGATATAAGTTTAGAATGTTAATACCCTAAACTAGGTTGCGCCCGTTGATTTGAATTTGTTTATGAAAAAAAAATCATCAAGTGAATTATCTTCGGCAAATGCATAATTTTTCATCCTTCAACCCAAACAACCTCAAAACTGGTGGGTTAGTTAAATATATTGACGGCTTCAAACTAAAAATTTAAATGAATTAAGTGGGTTAGAATTACTAAATAGGAAAAAAAAAATTAATGATGTTATTCAAAATCATATTTCACAAATTAATATACAAAGAAATCAAATTAATGATGTTATTGAAAATCATATTTTTCACTTTCCGAGTCTCTTTCAATGTATTCTACTTTCTTGTACCTTTAATTTCATATTTTCAATGAATTTTTTACTTTGCTTAAAAAAAAAAAATTATGAAGAAAATATGTGACAGAAATAAAGAATAGGTGTCATGACTAATAGTATTAGAGTTAGGGGTTGTTTGGAGTGTCATAAATAAGTGTATTTTTTTTGTCTTTTTGGACTAAAAAGTTGAGGAAAAAAATATGAATGTTTAGATTAATTTTGACTTTTTATGAAAAAATGTGTATTAAAAAATTGTATAAATAAGTGTATAGGAGAAGATAGTGAAGTAGGCCGTACGGGTTGTGCAGTGCAATTAGCTGGGTAGGAGATGGGAAAGATTGTCTCTTTTTCGGACTTTAATTGGACGGTGTTGTTTGGCTCGTTGGGGCCCACCACGGGTCCTGTTTTTCTAATTGAAACCGTTCAATGTATAGAACTCGTCGAGTACTACATGTTTGTAAAAAATCACGTTGATTGGATATCAATAGCTATCTGATCGTATTAGTTTTTTTTGTCAACGGTTAACTATAACACCATCCATTTTTATACAAAACTGATTTGATTATGTAGATAGCGATATCAGATAGACGTGATTGTTTACAGGCATATAGTATTAGACGAGTTCTATATATTGAACGGTTCGGATTATCAAAACGGAATCTAGGGTGGGCCACACGGACCCAATTTTGCCATCCAACTTAGTAAATATACACATGTATTTTTTCTTTTCCTTTTACTACCTTTGCTTTGATGTTAGTATCTAGAGTGACATGAAGTTGATTTGTATTTTAATATTATATATATTAAATTTTTTTTATTTTTTTTGGTAAATAGTAATAGTTTTTTAATTTTTTTTGTAACTTTTTAACTTTTATAAAAGTTTAGAAAGAGATTGTGGGCTCATTTGTAAATTAACTTTTTAATAACTTTCTCACTTTTTTACAAAATATATATATAACAATAAAAAAAAATGAGTTAACTTTTTATATTAATTTATTAACTTTTTAATTATTTTAATCAATTATGCGCTTATGTAAACAAGTGTAAGTTAATTTCTATACATATAGATAGAGGTGGATTGGATGTTTTGTCGGCGGGTTTATCATTCAATTCAACCGCGTCACATTCTCAAACAGCAAACAGCAAACAGCAAAGGTTATGATGATTTTTTTACACACCCTTAACCTAAACTACTTTTGAACAAAATTGAAATTATGTTCATTTCATGTCTGAAACGAAAATCTTCATCAACTTGATGAATAACCGTTAAAAAAACACCCTCAAAGAAAAAAAAAGTTTTTTTTGTTGATATATAAAAAAAAAAAACCGTTAAAGAAACACAACAATTAAATTTAAAACAAAAAAAATGGAATCATTCCATATGTGAAATAGAAAAAGATTATAAAAAAGAAACACAACAATTAAATTTAAAACAAAAAAATGGAATCATTCCATATGTGAAATAGAAAAAGATTATAAAAAAATAAAAAGTTAATTTTGATGCAGTCAGTGGCAAAGAGAGATAGACTGATTCCACAAAAAGTCAAGTACAGCGTGTACAACGTTGGGTACAAGCAACCTGAGCGTGTGGTCCCAAAACATTTTTCTCATTTCACTCTCTCTCTCTCTCTCTCTCTCTCTATGCCTAACCCTAGCCCCTCGTCCCCTTTAAATACCCAAAGCATACGTAAAATCAAAAAACCAGCTTTAAGAATTACACAAGCTTCAAGGAAGACAAGACCTTAATCGGGCCATACCAGTGCTCTACATATATCACTACAACCCTTAAAGAAAACAGTGCAGGAGGAGGAGGAGCAATGGTGGATATGGCGCCAGGTTTTAGGTTCTACCCAACTGAGGAAGAGTTGGTTTCATTCTATCTGCAAAATAAGCTTCAAGGAAGACAAGACCTTGATCGGGTCATACCAGTGCTCTACATATATCACTACAACCCTTGGGATCTCCCACGTTTGTACTCTCATCTCATCTTTCTCTCTCCATCGTTTCTCTTCTTCTTCTTTTTTTTTTTAATCGAAGTTTCTAAGATGGGTTTTCTGATAGTCTCTCAATTTTCAACTGTCTTTCACCTTTCAACTTTTCTCCTAATGGATGTTTGATCATTATGGTGTTGATTGAAGTTATTACAATCTTAAAATTACTTGCCTTACTTTCTGTAATGTGTTGTTGTGTTGTGGCACTGGCAGCTCATTTTTAATCATTGCTTTTCAATTTTTATTTTTTTTTATTTTTTTATACATTTAATAAATTTACACCATCTTCACTTGGATCCTTCTAGTTCAATTTCTTGACTACTTCAAAGATTGGTTTGTTTCAATTCAGCTTGTTTTTTAAACTTGGTTTTCACTTTCTTTTTTGGGTTACATCTAATTATTAAATTGCTTCATTTCGATCAATTTCTTGACTACATTTAAGATAGATAAGTTTTGTTGTTTCATCCATTATCTATATTCATAGCATGAACATCTTTTTATTTATTTATTTGTTTATTTATTTTTTTAAAGATTTATGTATTGGTGTCTCATCAAGATGTCAAGAAGATAAAGAAAATAGTAATTCAATCCTTACAAGCAAGTATACACATCCATATATATATATATATATATATAATGAAAAATTAAGAGTATCCAACCTTTACCCAATTAGGTTAAAGATCCCGAGTTTTGATATTCGTTTATTTCATTTCTCAACATTAAAAAGTCTCAAGCACAAGTCTGGAAATTAAATTGTTGAGAAAAATTAAGATTACAACCCTAGTATGTAATTAATGTTAATTAAGCTAAGGTTTGGTCTTTGCTAAATTGTTGTATTTCGAACCAGAATTTGCAGGAGAGCGGTGTCGCAGAGACCCTGAGCAATGGTTTTTTTTTATTCCTAGACAAGAGAAAGAGGCCCGTGGAGGGAGACCAAACCGACTCACTACTTCTGGATATTGGAAAGCTATTGGCTCTCCTGGTTATGTTTACTCTTCTCGTAACCGAGTTATTGGAATGAAGAAAACCATGGTTTTCTACAGAGGAAGAGCTCCCACAGGAAGAAAAACGGAATGGAAGATGAATGAGTACAGGGCCATTGAAAGAGAAGCATCATCAAGCAGTGCAATTCCGAAGGTGTGATTTGAATGTGATATATAAGAGCTTTTGCTTTGAACTTTATTTAGGCTCCGTTTGGCAAGAGCTAAATGAGATTTTTTTGACTATTTTAGTCACAAAAGATAAAATAGGCTATTTTAAGCACAAAAAATAAAATATCACATCTAACCTATAATCATTACATTCTTCTCTCACAATAAAAAGTTAAAAAAGCCAAAAAGTCAAAAAGCCCTTCCCAAACTAAACTTTTTAACCCAGACTAAAATAGTAAAAAAAATCAAAAAGTAAAAAAATCAACCAACTTCCCAAACGTAGGCTTACTAATTTTCATAACAAACAAACTATGGCTAATTCTAGGGTTTCAAGTCTGCATTCCTAGGTCAGTACCCAGGTCATACGCTTGTAGCCTTGCTCTGGGATCCAAGTTAATATAATATTACAGAAGGGAAGAATTTTGAAAAATATACCATTATAACCTTTTAGTTAAACCTTTAAAATGAACCAACATTTTTTAATTTGATTCATTAAAAACTCATACAAGATGAGTCGGTTAGGTAAACAAATCAAACTTCTTTGAAAACTATACCTTTGTGTCCATATGATGTAATAAAACTACTTCAAAGAAATTTTGATAGAAAATAACATAGAAGTTCATCTACGTTGGTAAACCTACTTGAATTTTGATTCATTAAAAATTCATTCCGAGATCAGCTCATCATATTAACAAACCAAACTTAAACACAAAGATTTTGAAAATTATATATTGCGACTTTATAGTTGAAGTTCTAAAGCTAGTTTAGGATAATTTTGATAGAAATGAACATAGGGAAGTTTATTTGATTCTAAAACAGTAAAATTAATTAAGCTACTTGAATTTAATTCGTTAAAAATTTGTTCGAAAACAACTTTGGTACTACTTGGTTTAGTTTTCAAAGCATGATTTGGATCAAAAAATAAAAAAATTTGCTTGGTTAACAAATTTTTAAAATACAACTCAAAACACAATTTTCTCCCTCCTTTCTTTTTATTTTTATTTTTATTTTTATAGTTAATAAATTAATCAATCGCTTTCTCTTTCCTCTCTCCTCTCTTATTATTTTACATTCTACACATCAATTAATCAAATTTTCTCATACCCATCTATTTAACTAAAATAAAATAAAATAAAAATTACATATCATCCCAAAACTATTTTCAAAACTCATAACTAAATAAATTTTTAACTTTCAAAACTCTTTTCAACAACTTATCTTTCAAAGCACAACTCAAAACTCAATACTCATTTCAAAAATTAAACTAAATGGACCCTTTATATTTATAAATTAAGTTTAAACACAAAAATTTTGAATAATACAATTATGACCTATTCAAATTTTATTCATTAAAAACTCGTACGAAATGGGCTTCTTAAATTGGGTCTAGTACTAGTAAATGATTGTGCTTCTTTTGCGGTGCTAACCTAATTGGGATTGTTGAGGTTAGCTATGATGCTCAGTACATTCCCTCGCTTTCTTAATGTAAATTTTGCATGTATTGTGCTTTTTCATCAATAAAGTTTTATTTTGCTGATAACAAAAAAAAAAGTAAGCAAATCAAACTTAAATGCACGAATTTTGAAAACTACACCATTGTGTCCATATAGTTGAAGTTTTAAAACTAGTTTACCGTAATTTTCATAGAAAATAACATAGGAGTTCATCTACAGTTCAATTATGCTGGTTCGTTTAAGCTTAAACACAAAAAAATTTGAAAAACCTTTTGACCTTACGGTTGAAGTTTTAAAACTAGTTTACGGTACTTTCGATAGAAAAGAACATAGGAGTTTATCTGATTTTAAGATTGTTCAATGAATCAAGCTACTCAAATTTGATTCATTAAAATTTATCGTAATTTTGATAGAAAAGAAAGCCTGCATGTTTACCTACATAGCATTTTATTTACAGTTCTAAGATTGGTAAAATAAACCAAACTACTCAAATTTGATTCATTAAAAACTCATTTAACATCAACTCATTATGTAAATAAGATAAATTTAAATATATTTTAAACCTCGTTAATTTTTTAAGCTTGATTTGAACTTGGCTCGATAAACTTATATACACTATAAATTATTATTATTATATATAAATTAATCTCAAGCTCGATTTGAATAAAGTTCATTTGATATTGGCTCAAAAAACAATTAAATCAAAGTTAAACACAATTTTAAAGGTGAATAAATTTTCAAACCTAATTTAAACAATCTCATACTTGACTAGTTTACAACCATTGCATTTGGTTTAAATCATATTACAACAGGCCTTACGTTTGCATCTAGTCAAGTACACCAATATGTGTTTTTGATCAGCAAGTACACCAATATGTTTTAACCTAATATTAATAATAATGTAAAGAAATATAGTAACAATTACATGGTTATTACAACTCATGGTTTTTGCAACTCCTTTCAACAGTTCTCTACCTTATTTCTTTTGATCTTAATTATGTTTTTGCAGTTAAGACCAGAGTTTAGTTTGTGCAGAGTGTACAAAAAATTAAAATGTTTGCGTGCATTTGATAGACGACCATCTCCAGAGGTGCCAGTGACAGGCCAAGAGGCAATGGTTCACCAAGTTATAGCTCACCATGGTACTGAGGCAACAACATCTCATCAGAACCGTCCAACCATGGAGAGATTTTGGGCCAAAATATGGGGCCTAAGGCACAAGCCTTACCTGCCTTAGGGCAGGGCCGGCCCTGTCAGCAAGTACACCAATATGTTTTAACCTAATATTAATAATAATGGTAAAGAAATATAGTAACAATTACGTGGTTATTACAACTCATGGTTTTTGCAACTCCTTTCAAGAGTTCTCTACCTTATTTCTTTTGATCTTAATTATGTTTTTGCAGTTAAGACCAGAGTTTAGTTTGTGCAGAGTGTACAAAAAATCAAAATGTTTGCGTGCATTTGATAGACGACCATCTCCAGAGGTGCCAGTGACAGGCCAAGAGGCAATGGTTCACCAAGTTATAGCTCACCATGGTACTGAGGCAACAACATCTCATCAGAACCGTCCAACCATGGAGAGAACAGGCTCACCAGAGTCCTCCGATGAAGATCATCCTAATCCTTCTAAAGCTGTGAGAAGTGATAACTTGGATATGGACATTGGCAATGAGCCTTTGTGGGATTGGGAACATCTTAATTGGTTTTAAAACAAACGGTCAAAAGGTATCTAAATTATCCAATAAAATTGAGACCATGAGCCAGTAGATTTTTTTTTGTTTTTGGGTAGGTAAAACCTATTACTAGATTTTGATTCATGTCTACATTTTACTAAAGATTGAGAATCTTTGAGTTGCTCTGTTGCAGTTGGTTGGATTCAGAGAATATGTTGTTGCTACATTGGTTTTTGTTTCTTGTGGTTGTTTTTTCGGTTGGCATCTCACCAACTCTCGATGCTGTGCTTGCAGATATTGAGTTTGTTTTTCAATACCAACCTAATTAGGATTGATTAGCTTTTCTATGATTTATTGTGCACTTGTCTTTTCTTTATTGATGTATTTTCTCAGTGTTCTCTATACATTGATTTTCATCAATAAAATTGCTCTTTTCGTTGTTAAAGAAAAAAAAAATATATTGTTGTACATGTCAAAAATTTATGAGGTCCACATATAACTTGACCATGTCACCATAAGAAATTAAGATTTTAATGACAAAAATTTAGGGACAAAATCACTTTTTAGAGACAAAATTGGACATTTAGTGATGAACTACTGATGAAAATATAAAACTTCTCTATTTTATTCAATGAATCACATATACAAAGCTCAAGATATTATATAGTGACAACACTCTAACTAACTCAGTAACTAACTCAGTTAAACAGTTCTAACTGTCTAACAAACATTACAACTGTATCCATATTTGTTACAGATATTATCTGGAGAACATTTAGTGAACATAGCTGTGATGAATGAGATATCAATGCTGACTTCTTCTAAAGCTGAGACTGCAGCTTTGGCTCTGCCTCTAACTGTGATTGTGGCAACTGGGTATGTATCTTAGCACTCCCCTACAAGCTAATAGGGCAACGCTGCACAAGAAGCTTGTCTTTCAAATAAAGAAAACGAGAGGTGGACAGAGGTTTGGTGAAGATGTCAGCCACCTGGTCTGTAGTAGGAATGTCACGACCCAAACCCGCCCCAAAAAGTTTGGTCCATGACCCGCCTGTACTTTGGCCTCAAAACAAACTTTCATAATAATGTGTATTCAAATATGGGGCCATAAGCGGAAGCAAATGCCAACATAGATAAAATGTCCATTGAGCTCGTGCATACATGAAGGTTTAGAGTAACTTAAGCACTTAAGTACGCTTTCATATGTACATATATAATCACAGAATTATACAGATCTCACACACACATTTACATAAGACTCAGTAAATTATATAATTAAATTAAATAGGTCCCAATACAAAATTAAGGCCTCAACGCAGAGGCGTAACCCGGGGCGGCTTGACAAACAAGTGGACCTCACTACAACTCTAGTGTTGGTTCCCGATAGCTCACCTACATAAATATACATAAAAACGGAGTGAGCAGAGCTCAGTGAATAATAGCAATGTAAGGAGGTTAGTTAAATGAGCATAGTCATAGAGAATGTAAATATGCATATCAAAGCAAACACAGATCTTATTCATAATCATATTTCAAAACGGCCTCAGGCCCACATGTAATACAGAACGGCCTCGGGCTCATGTATGATACGAAACGGCCTTAGGCCCACATGTAATACAGAACGGCCTCGGGCCCACATATGATCCGAAACGGCCTTAGGCCCAACATAACGACAGCTGTCCAGAGCAAGATAGGGAAGATGGAACATCGACATGTTTCTATCTCCCTCGGCCTTAGGGCCACAAGTCATAGGCAATTCACACCATAACGGCCTCATGCCCACTTTTATTAATAGGAACAAACGACCTTAGGTCCATATCAGTGCCGTAGTTCAATTATGTCAATCAATTCAACCAAAGTACAATATCAACCGTATATGCCATTCACAAACAACAATGTGTAGATCATGTTCACATGAAGTAAGTAAGACATATCGTTACACTACTATTACTCATAGTGATAGGTTTCTGGTAGCAATGAGTCAATGTCCTTGTGTTGACCTACAAACACAATGCACATAGCATAACATAAGTACATACCCGATCCCTTTCTTTGCTCTTTAATCAATTAGTCATATCGGTTCTAAACTTATTAGTCCTCAGTAGGTTATAATCCATGTCTCAAAAAATAGGAGGAATCGATAGGAAAATGGTTTAGACGGAGAAATGGTACAAAACTTGTAGACAGAAAGTGAACAACTTTCACTAATTTGGGAATATCTATTTGTGTACTAAGAATTTGAGAGTGAGGCCACCACCATTGGAAACTAAACTTTCGGGGATTGAATTTAGGCTCAAGAAACACTTAAAACGGAGTCCAGATGCAAGAGATATGCTTATTTGAAGTTGGCTGAAACAGAGCTGTCCCGCACGTGCGGAAAACAGGGCGGCACGTGCAGACCATGTGCTTTTTTAGCAGAATCAACTTTGGTGTTGGAAATGGACTGCCGCACGTGCGGGAAGACCCACCGCACGTGTGGCTCTAGGCAAAAACTGCTGTCCGAAAATGTTGTTTGCTCAAACACTTGTTCTTTCCATCTCTAAGCTTGGTTTCAACTCTAATCACTCAAAAACATGAAAAATTACCCCACAACATAATAAACAAACATCATTCAAGTATCATTTCATCTCAAACAAATCAATCTTTGCCTCAAGTTAGAAATTCAAGTCTCATCTTTCTATATAATCAAACTCTCACAATATGTGCCCAAAATCTTATAAATATATCTTACACATGGTTGGTTCTCACACCAAATCTTGTTATTCCATGAATCATTCTTAAGATTGAACCCAATTCAAGCAAACTTAAGGCAATCAAGGCTCAATCCCTTGAGTTAAACCCATTTCATTCATAACCCACCACACTTGTTCATTTACATGTTAATCTTCCAAGTCACTCCTTGATTTCATGTAGTAGATGAATTATCTACAAAGACAATAGTTAAAGCCACATACCTTAACTCAATTCCTTGCATTTCCCCTTAATCTCTTCAATTTTCCCAAGCTTCATAGTTGATCTTCTTCCTCTCTCTTCAATTGTCTTCAATCATCTTCAAAGCCACCATGAATGTTGAGCTTCTCTTAGAGAATTTTGTCTCTCCTTCTCTCTCTCTCTCTCTCTCTCTCTCTCTTTCACGGTTCTCTTTCTCTCTTCCTTAGATATTTTTGGCTAAAATATCTTGAGTTCAACTCATATATCTCATATATCTATACATCTAACTATATATAAGTTTATCACAATTTGGGAAAGCCAAACGCACCCTTACGAATCGTACAAAATCAAATTTCAAGTAAACTTCTCAGACGACTCTAAAAATTATACCAATCATAACTATGTACTCTGTTCTAGTTTTTGAAGCTTTTAAGGCCTTCAATTTGCAATGCAAAATTAACCAGCCAAACACACCTTAACGGATCAGGCAATAATAATAAATTTCTAATTAATTTTCCCAAATAGCCCTAAAAATTCCCATTCGCATATCCGTGTACTCAATCTTAATTTTTAAACCCATAAAGGTCGTCAATTCCAATTTTAAAGTTGTAACTCAATAGATAATTCCTCAATTCGAACAGATATTATTAAATTGAAGCACATTAACCCACAAGTGCATAAAGGTAATTTCTGATACGGATTTTGGGGTCGTTACAAGGAATATATTTCAAATAAAATGACAGTTGATTTATATATGTTTAGAATGAGAATAAAAAATTGGATTAGAAGCCAATGCCATTGCATAGATGTTGTCACACCTGAGCTCAGTAATACAAGATGAGGGAATATGCATATCTGCCAACAACTGCTGCAACCAAGTTAATTCAGCAGTGGCATTAGCCAATGCCCTATACTCAGTCTCAGTAGATGATTGAGAAACAGTGGACTGTTTCATAGCACTCTAAGAAATCAGATTAGGACCCAAATAGACACAGTAACCGGAAGTGGATTTTCGATCAACACTATCTCCAGCCCAGTTTGAATAAAAAAAAGCATGAAGAGATAAGGGACCCGAAGTAAATTGCAGACCATGGTGAAGAGTACTTTTCACATATCTCAACAAGCGTTTGATATCTTGAAAATCAGCATTAGTAGGAAGGTGCATATGCTGGCATGCTTGGTTAACAGCTAAGGCTAAATCAGGTCTGGTAATGGTGAGGTACTGTAAGCCACCAACAATACTCCTATACAGTGAAGGATTAGAAAAGGGAAGATCATCTGAAGAAGAAGGAGGAGAAGAAGCTTTGACAGCTAAAGGAGTGGAGCATGGTTTACAATCAATTAAACCAGCTTTGTGAAGAAGCTCAGTGGCATACTTAGCTTGAGATAAGAAGTAACCACGAGATAAGGCTTGAACTGAGATGCCCAAGAAATAGGACACAGTACCCAATTCCTTCATGGAGAACACAGTATGCATATGTTGAATGAATTGTGCAAGAAGAGAAGATTACCAGTAACTAGGATGTCATCAACATAGACTACAAGAATAAGAAGACTGGTGGAAGTATGTTGAACAAAAAGAGAGGAATCAGAATGACTATTAGCAAAGCCTTGAGAAAGGAGAAACTTAGAGAAAGTAGAATACCAAGCTCAAGGAGCTTGTTTAAGTCCATATAAGGCTTTCTTGAGCTTGCACACTTGATGGGAAGACTGAATAAAACTTGGAGGTTGCAACATATATACTTCCTCATCTAATGTGCCATGAAGAAAGGCATTAAAAATGTCTAATTGATGAATAGGCAATGAAAATGGAGAGCCAAGCAAAGAACAATACGAATTGTAGGCTACTTAGCCACAGGGCTAAAAGTTTCATAGAAATCAACACCTTCTTGTTGAAGATATCCCTTTGCCACCAATCTAGCTATATACCTTGCCACAGAACCATCAGAATTCCTCTTGATTCTATACATCCACTTACAACCAATTGCTGTTTTATGAGGAGGAAGAGACACAAGATCCCAAGTGCCCTGTTGCTGTAGGGCTTGAAATTCTTCCTGCATAGCAGTAAGTCACACAAGAGAAGCTAAGGCAGCTTGAATAGTAGGAGGTTCAGATTAAAGATAAGAAGAGGATGTGGCTGTAAGACACAGAGGATGTTTTGTTTTAGATCGAGTGAGCGTGAGATGAACATTAGAGGAAGACAAGGGAGGAACCAGATTAGAAGACAAACTAGAAGGTGGAGAAAGGTCAATAGAAATGGAAGTAATAGGAATAGCATGAGAAGGAGGAGAAAAACTTAGAGGAGATGATGAAGCTGGAGAACTAGAGCAAAAAGAAGAAGAAGAAGTAGATGAAGAAGAAACAGTGGGAACCTCAGAGGGAAGAGAAGAAGGCCAGATAAAATTATGAATATGAGGCAAGGAGATAGGAGGAGATGAAGAGGAAAGAGCAGCTGAAGCAAAAGGAAAATAGGATTCATTGAAGATGACATGTCTAGAAACAAATAACTTGCCACTAATAGGATCTAAACATCTATAGCCTTTAACAGTAGGATGATAACCTAAAAAGACACAAGATAAGGACTTAGGTTGGAGCTTGTGAGTGGTGTAAGGTTTTAACCAAGGAAAACACTGGCAACCAAAGACCTTGAAGGAAGAAAAATCTGGAAGTGTTTTAAACAGAATCTGAAATGGAGATTGATTGGAAAGAACAGAACTAGGCATTCTGTTGATGAGGAAAACTGCTGTAGCAATAGCATCAAACCAATATTTCAAAGGTAGAGAAGATTAATGAAGAAGAGTGATAACAGTTTCAGTGATATGGCGATGCTTCCTCTCAGCAACACCATTCTATGCTTGTGTATAAGGACAATTGGTTTGATGAATAATACCATGAGAAGAGAAAAGAGAAGCTACCTTTTTGTTTACAAATTCAGTACCTCTATCAGTTCTTAAAATCTTAAGAGAAGTATGAAATTGATTTTCAGCATAGACTTTAAACTCAAGCAATTTTTCATAGACTTCACTTTTAAAATGTAAGGGATAGATCCAAGTGAATCTACTACAATCATCAACAAACAAAACATAAAATCGAAAAGGAGCATTATCAACAGAAGAACAAGACAATTTGAAAGGAAGTCTATGACTCCTAGACACATAGCAGTCAGTGCAGTCTATGGTTTTATTAAAAGTCTTTTGATTTGGAAGATGTGATGCCAGGTGTTGTAGCTTGAGAACAGAAGCATGACCCAATCTTTGATGCCATAGCAAATAAGAGATTGAAGAGACTGAACCAGTGGAAGATTGAAAAACCTATGGTTGCTTGGGACAGATAGAAGATGATGGATACAACTGATAAAGACCATTGATGTTTGATCCTTTATGCAGGACCTGTGTAGACGTCCCCGAACGCCCCGGGAGGGATGAGTCCCGTTCTGTTCATATTGTGCTCACTACAGTTCAGGACTCTCAAATTGTCACGGTTCTTAATCTGAACCAAAGAGTCCAAATCTGACAAATCGTTTTGAGAAAACAAATTTTTTGAAAGAAGTGCCAAACATGGACTGCTTTGCCAGATACAGAGTCGCCACCTAAATGTCATTTTATTTTGGGGAAATTTTAGGAAAACCCTGACTCGTTTGTCTAAGGCCACGTGTCTGTCATCACCAAAGTTGCCTCGCTCGGGAACTTGGGAACGATTGGGGAAGGTCACTTCGTGAGCACCACACGCTCTGCCGATCAAAGATCGGCCCTTTATACTAACCATGATATCTATTTTTGAAAAACATTATGTGTTCTATTCCGGTTATTAGCCTAGATTACTATGTGATGAGCACAGCATACAAGTATAGACTGGATCGCCTGAATTGGAACAAAAATTTCATTTTGTTTGTTTGAAAATGGTTTGATGGTGCTACCCGCAAGTAGGCTAAGACGTGGATTTGCCACCCTCAGATGGCTTAGAAAACATGATTTGCCACTATCTAGTGGGCTTAAAACTCACAATGAATGATTGTTCCAATCCAAATACCCCACCTTCACCCACAGACATTCAGGCAGTTTATATCACATAGCACATAGCCTCATGGTAAGCATGCTATTTTCATGGCAGTCACTCACACGCATTGAAGGATGCTAAAGCATAAAACTTACCGAGTACTCCAAGTCAAAATAGAAGCTAATTAGAAATCCATGCATGATCCTAATTATACAGAAATGCCTAATGCAACACATGCAAAAATGCAACTATAGCAGGCTCGGCTATTCTAGACATGGCATATGAAATGCTACAGTTAACATGTATTCAACTTGGAATTGAAAATACAATGCAGTTAGTATGATGCGCCGAGCCCGGTGCATGCAAAATAGATGAATGAATGCTAACATGCTATCATATTGTATGCTAATTGAAACAGGCCCTAATCTAACCATCATAAGCGGGTAAATAAAAGGGAGAAAGACGTGGGGTTGGAAGACATATATCACACACACGCACACTTATTACAGTTATGCCCTCGCGCAGAGGGTCCGAATAAATAATATACAGTTCCAAATGAATAATTACAGTTCAAATATGTACAAAACCCTAATTAATTAACAAATTAAATTAGGAAAGCGATAAATTGGCATGCAAGCCAGGGACTGCCTCAACTTTGTTCCGGATGATGAATGATGCATGCTCGGGTTGCCTTGTGCAGAGAATCCCTCGCGATGCCCCGATTTACCTCTGTTTACAATTACTCTTGGAATGCGTGCCAGGCTCCGGAAGGCTGCCGATTTCTGATTTGCTGCAACAGAGAGCAACAAAGGGGCATAGCAAAGTTTTTTCACATATGTATGCATGATTACTCTTCAGGGAGTGTAGTCCTCGATCCTCGTGTCACCAATCACGCATATCGATGCATGATGGCTGAGGAGTCGAATTGCACGAATCAATATGAAATGAATGCACATATGGACACAACAAGGCCTAAACTCCATCATGGGTAATCTGGAGTGTCGGCGACTGGAAATTGAGACACGTTCCGTCACTCGAAGTACAAACCGTCCCTCGTTTCCCGTGCTCGGGCTAACTCCTATCCCAAACACAATGCTATATGCGTGATATGCATGAATGCAACTAATATCAACCTAACATGCACAATGCTATGAAATGGCATACACGATGCACGAGGTAACATGGCATATACAATGCGCTAACATACAACCTAGCATACGCAATGCTATGAAATAAAATGGCATACACAATGCACAATGGACTTACACCAACATGAGTGGACCTCAGCCACACTCACATCAGTAGCCAAGAGATGGAAATGAGACACTCGAAATGCGCGCACACATGCATGCAAATCGAGGACCGATCCTAAGGCACAAATGCCACTCTAACAAGGCACGAAATATGGCATACAAACATGCAAGTTTCAGCATTGAATGTGATGCAAAATGATCCCAAAACATGGAAACATGGCACCCGATGCATGGAATGGCCCCGAAACACAAAACTAGGCATACGCATTGGCCTATAGCTATACAAAGCATGAATTATTTGATCATGAAGTGTGAAGAAAGATGCAAGACAGTCCCAAAAAATGCATATTTCTAGTTTATAACAAGTCCCAAAAATGAATGCAAATAGGGCTAATCTATCATGCAAAAATGGCCTAAAATAGAGATTAAACACAAAGGGACAGCATCTGGCCCCAAATGGCAAAGATCCCTTCAACAAATTTGAATAGGGGCTCAAAATAGGGCACTTTACAGTTTACATCAAGTCACGAAAATAATCAAAGATAAGGCCAAACTATCATGCAAGAAAAGGCCTAAAATAGGGATAAAGAGACAAGTGGCAGCTTCTGTTCTCAAACAGAGGAGATCCCTTCAACAATGTTGAAGAGGGGCTCAAAACAAGATATTTTACAGTTTATGGAAAAGTCCAAAACAACTCAACAATAGGCCTAAAATACTATGCAAAAATAAGGCCTAAAAGAGAGTTAAAGAGGCAAGTGATAGCTGCTGGCCTCAAACAGAGAAAGACCCTTAATCAAACATGAAAAGGGTCTCAAAATATGACTATTTACAGTTTGGGTCGGAGCCCAAAAATGCAAGCAAGTATGGCTTAGATACAAAGCAAAAAAAGACTAGAAAAGGGAAGAAAATGACTCACCCTTGTAGAACCAAACTTCAGCAGCTTTTGGACCAAGGAAAGGTGCTCCTAAACTCTGAAAAACAGCCTCAAGTTGCCGGAAGTGGAGTGTGGGTTGATAGGCTATGAGTTGGTGTAGAAATGGTCCAAGGACAAAGGTGTTTTGAAGCTTGGAAGAGAAGGAGAGGGAGGATGAATGCAAGAGCCTTAAACCAAATTTTGTAACCCCTCAAAATGCAACTGAGGGACTGGTTATATAGGCAAAGGAGGGGAGGAAAAAAGGGGGAAAAATGAATTCAAATTTCCCCTCAAAAAGGTCCCCCTCCGGTACAG